GTGACACGCAAACTCATTTTTTGGTTGATTTTTCTTTGTTAAATGGCATTTAAACATACAAAATAAATATCAAAAATATAAGTCTTTGTTTTACTATGGTTGCAAATATCAAAAAGTGTCTATATGTGACACGGCACCAGAGTTAAGTTAGGGTTTGTCAAAATGCTGACATGCCGAGCTCAAAAGGTTCGCCATCACTGGCGTAGGACCACCCTGGGGCTTGCTCAGTCTCAGCATGCATGCCCTGAGCGTGTACCGAGACACACAGGCGTGACTCTAGGTGCAGTGGGAAGTGCTCAGAGGCTTTGAGGCAGTGGAGTGGCAGACACACGAGGCTGTCCAGGTCCAGGACACAAACGCTGTGATCCTGGGCCTGGCATATTGCAGCCTTAAAAGAACTCCCTGGGCATGAAATATAGGATCTCCAAATCCTGTATTTAAAAATGGAATCGACATTTTTAATCGGCCCCGCTTCTAAGTGGAGTTGCCTGGTTCTTTGACTTTATTCCCAAGTGTGGCACGCCCAAGGGCACGGTCCGCATCTCACTACTTCCTCCCAGTGTCTGGCCCGGCACAAGTGCTCAGGAATATCTGACAAATACATTGCATGTCCTAATCCACTCATGCCTGGAATGTTCGCCCTGCTTCCCATTGTCCTCCCAGGCTTACTCTCTCAGGCCATTCTCCAAGCTGGAGCCCCAGCCAGTTTGTCAGTCAACACATTTTTTTTTAGTTTTTACTATATATTTCAGACATATTTCTACGTTAGTAGGGATTATTATGGGCCGGATTATGCCCCCGAAAAGTTCATTTGTGGAAATGCTAACCTCCAGTACCTCAGAATGTGATTATATTCATGAATAGGATCATTACTGAGATGATTAAAGTAAAATGAGGTCATTAGAGTGGGCTCTAAACCAATGTGACTGCTCTCTTCATAAGAAGAGGAAATATGGACACGGACTCATACTGAGGGAAAGCCATGTGAAGACATGGAGAAGATGGCCACAGGCAAGCCAGAGAGAGGCCTGGGACAGAGCTTCCCTCACAGCCTCGGAAGGAATGAACTCTGCCAATGCCTTGATCTCCAATTCTAACCTCCAGAACTAAATGTTGAGGCCGCACACCTTGGGGTACTTTGTTACTGCAGCTCTAGGAAACTAGTACAGGGATGTAACAACAAAATGATGAGACGAGCCTCACGGAGCTTATGCCCCCGCTGAAGGAGACAGACGATACATTTTTAAATTTCAGGACCAAGAACAGGATGATATGAAAGAGTGAGCCTGGGGTCCCTGGGCAAATCCTTGAGCAGTGGAGAGGGAAGGCCTCTCTGTGCAGGTGACATTCACCCCGAGACCGAGTGGGAGAAGCAGTGTCCATGTGAGCTCCTGGGGGAGGTGCAGAGAGCTCCAGGGGTTGGGAACTGCAATGCAGAAGCCCTAAAGCAGGGATGGGGAACCTTTTCTCTGCCAAGGGCCATTTGGATATTTATAACATCATTCTCAGGCCATACAAAACTATCAACTTAAACATTAGCCTGCTATGTTTGGTCAAACATTTAATTAACTCCTAATGCGTTGGCAGGGCCAGACGAAATGATTTCGCGAGCTTTATAAGGATGTTCCCCACTCCTGCCCTAAAGGAACAGAAAAAGGCCAGGGTCCCTGGCTGGCATTGCTCAGTGGTTAGTGTGTCCTCCTACCTCCCCCCCCTGATATACCCCCCCTCCCCCGCACTGAAAGATCATGGATTCAATTCCCTGTCAAGGGCATGAACCTGGGTTGCAGGTCAATCCCAGGCCTGGGTCCCAGTGCATGTGAAAGGCAATCAATGGATATATCTTTCTCACATCAATGTTTCTCTCTCATTCACTCCCTCTCCCCACTTTCTCTCTCCCTCGTTCCCCTCTCCCTTCTACTCTCTCTAAAAATCAATGGAGAGGGGAACTCACTAGACCAAGATGGTTCACAAGCTTCCTTCTGAAATGCAGTTCTAACCACCTCACTCCCAGGTGCCAATTGCTATCTGGCTTCCTGTCCCCAGCAGCAGTGTTTATCTAAATTAGGTCTGTGGACTCTATCATGGACTGACTTGTGTACACCCCCCCCACACACACACACACCCCAAATCTATATGTTAAAGCCCTAAGTCAGATAGGGCCCCCCCCATATGACTTATTTGGAGATAGGGTCTTCAAGGAGATAAAGTTAAATGAGGTCATAATTGTGGGGCCCTAGTCCACTATCACTGGTGTCCTTATAAAAAAAGGAAGAGACACCAAGAGTGCATGCAGACACAGGGAGAGGGCAGCCTCCCGCAAGCCAGGCAGAAAGGCCTCACCAGAAACCAACCCTGGGGCACCTTGATTTTGGACGTCTAGCTGCCAGAACTGTGAGAAGATAAATTTCTGTTGTGTAAGCCCCCCAGTCTGTGGTAATCTGCTATGGCAGCTCAAGCAGACTGATCCAGAGCTCAACTTCCCCGACTGCCCAACGCTCTCCTTATAGGTGCGGCTCACAGACTCATCGAACGCCCCAATGCAGAATCTGGGGGATGGAGTCCCAGAATTCATGTTTCAAATGGGCTCCTGGTGCCCCATGAGCTCCTGAGGGCGGTGAAGACTGATTCCAAAAGCTAACCCTCTGGCCACCAGCTCCTCTGACCACCAGCCTCCCTCTCTGTGCGTGAAGACCTCACATCTTCTCTGGCCTCCTGGTTAACTGCCAAGTTGCTCCATTTCCTCACACTCTCCCTTAGCCCTCCACCACGGGGCCAGCGAGCACAGGACTGGATGTGGAGCCTGGAAACCCAGAGGTAAGTCAGCTCTGAGCCCTGGCACGTGGAGAGACGATGGCTGTGAATAACCTGCCTCCCGGCAGATCCCGTAAGGACTGCAGGAAGGGGCACTGAGCGACCGGGGAGTGTGGGCAAGTTTCCCGCACAGAATCCTGTAGGAGTGGTTATGCATGTGTGCTGTCTCAGCCCAGCTGCAGCGGAAGCAGGTGAAGGAAGTTCCCTGCCTTACACCTCCTCGTCCCCTCCACCTTCTTGGATATAATGGGCCTCCGTGATTTGTGGGTTTCGGTCCTCTGGCTGTTAACAGCTTTACTAGGAGCCGCCCTCCAGTGGCTGGGGCAAAGTTTTAAAAACATAAGGTCCACTCTGGCAGAAAAGGTACGTACTAGTACTTCTGAGTCCTCACACCCTGGGTTCTGAGTCTGGTTTTCCACTGACCACCTGTGTGGTGTGGCCTCAGACAATCGTGTAGTTTCTGAGCTTCCTTGTCTGTGAAAGAAAAGAGGGATAATATTTCATACACAGGTTTCTCTATAGAATTAAATGAGGCAACCTCTGTTGGCCTTCAGTAAAGGCTCATAGGTAATTCCTTACATAACAGGGATTTGCCCTACCTGAAGGCACTGCAAGAGGACACTGGGAAAAATTAAGTGTAATAGACAATCTCTCAGCAATGCCCCACCTGCATCCTGTCCAGCCAACAGGCATTTAACTGAACACACGCCTTCGGGTAGCAGGCCAGCGGTTCATGGCCTCAGTGCCGAAACTTGGCTCCAGGAGGGCAGGGACTTCTTCGCCGATGTATTCCCAGCAGTTAGAGACCAGGCTGAGCACATAGTAGGTGCACAGTAATTATTGTTGAATGAATGGAGTGAATTGATCAATAAATGACTGGAAGAGCCTGGCCGGTGTGACTCAGTGGTTGAGCGACGACCTATGAACCAAGAGGTCACAGCTCCATTCCAGGTTGGGGCACATGCCGGGTTGCGGGCTTGATCCTCAGTGTGAGGTGTGCAGGAGGCAGCCGATCAATGATTCTCTGTCATCATTGATGTTTCTATCCCTTCTTCTCCGAAATCAATAAAAATATATTAAAAAGAAAGAAGGAAAGAGAAAGAAAGAAAGATAGAAAAGGAAGGAAGGAAGGAAGGAAGGAAGGAAGGAAGAAGGAAGGAAGGAAGGAAGGAAGGAAGGAAGGAACTGACTGGAAGGTACAATCACAATGGACAGTGGGCCTCTGACTCATTTTTAAGATCTTTTTTTTTTTAACATATCAGTTATTTAATTGGGTTCTTATAAGAAATTCAGAACACCAGTTTGTGAGGATAAACCCCATTGGTGAGAGCGAACAGAGAGAGGG